GAGGAAGGATTTTGTTCTAACGTACAGAGGATTAATTACTGTGTGACTGTATGAGATTAACGGCAAATCTTACGGTGTAATCCTTTACCCAGTCACACATGTTTGATTTCTTTAACTAAATATGCCGCTGGTACAATTGAGCAAAGCAGATGAAGACACGAACATTTTTCTCTGGACAGTTATACCCCTAACAATATTCATGCTTATATAATTGTAGAGATGTAGAGATTATAAAATTGGTTGGTAATGCATATTTTATTTATTGACCATGTCTTGTTTTTGAAATAATGATCTAAACATAGTCTCAGTTTGTACTTTTCAACTGAAAGAGCCATTTCTTACAACAGTGAGTTGCATCCAAATGAAATTAGTCTTTTCAATCATTTTTACCAAAATATTAAAGAAATTGCTCGATGCCTATTTTTGTCCATTAAATTTCATCTATAGCTTATTGTCATTACTAAGGATGTTTTTACTTGGACTGTAATTTGCTGGTCTGGTCTGGTCTGGTCTGAACTGGTCTGGTCTGGTCTGGAAAGGTCTGGTTTCTTTGTATTTTTATAACTATTCAAGTCTGGTCTAGTCTGGTCTGGTCTGGACTGGTCTGGTCTGGTCTGGTCTGGGACAAATTACAGTCCAAGTAAAAACATCCTAACTACTTATTTTTGTAATAATGGGTGTAGATTTTTTTTTTTGCAGATATTATCCCTTCTAGAATTTAGAATTTAACAAATTAGTTCTTCAATATCTTTCTTTAAGAAAAGAGTTAATAATATATAACAAATTTATTCGAACAGAGGAGAATTTTCAACAAATTTACCAAATTTAGATGCGGATAAATACTCTATCATATACGTTAAACTCCGCAGATTATATAGTGCAACCGGCGCACCATGAGGATGGTGCGCCCGGTTGCAAAACGACGCAGTATCCGGCCTCCCCCTTCCCAACAACACTCTCCCTCCTCCAGCCACCATCTCATTGTAGATTCATCGTGCCCCAGCAAGTTTGATTTGGAGCCGGAAGAAAGCAAACAGAACTTCATTCGATTGCCGCCCCCCACCAAACCATCCGCAAAGAGAACTCCATCTCTCGGATGGAAGCTTCATCCATGGCGGAGTGGGGCAGAGCTTGCCCACCACCGATTTGAGAACGATTTGGCCGGAGCTTCGTATCAAGTGCTCCACAGAATTAGAGATATTTTTAAAAATTGAATCTGTTGTTCTTAGTTCATAGATGTTTCTTCAAGCTTTTGTTTATGCTGCCATGGAGTTCGAAGTCTACTGATGAGTGAAGGGCTTCTCATTTTTATTCATCTCCAGCAAGTTACATTTTTGTAAAAACGATTTACATTTCAATACGCCTTAGGTTACATTTCCTTTAACACAACTTACCTTAGAAGTTGCACCAAATTACATTTCAATTAATGAGTTTTACATTTTGATTTACCTTAGCAAGTTACATTTCAATTAACACGTTTTACATCTCAACTTGCTTGGAGTTACATTTTAATATACACAATTTACATTTCACATATGGTAAGTGAGAAAATAAACATTGCAGGGAGTAAATTTACATTCCAGTGCATTAGTTACATTTACCAATAACTAGGATTACATTTCCAAGAATGTGAGTTACATTTCATTACACACGAGTTACATCATTCTGCTCCTAGATAGTGAAAAAACAAAAATAAAGGTTACTGTTCACGCGCGTGAACAGTAACACGCGAATTTTTTTGGGCATGCTTAAAACGGTGTCGTTTTGGTCAGAGGAGCATGGTGCTCAGCGTGTGCAGGTTGCACCGTATACGCACTGGTTAAACTCATATTTCCACCAGATATCTCTGAGAAATTATCCTAAATAGGACTAAAAGTAGTTCTATATTCCAAAAATAGGACTGCCATGTTTTTATTCCCAAAATAAGACTAGGATGTTTTTTACTTGGACTGTAATTTGCTGGTCTGGTCTGGTCTGGTCTGGTCTGGTCTGAACTGGTCTGGTCTGGTCTGGTAAGGTCTGGTTTCTTTGTATTTTTATAACTATCCAAGTCTGGTCTGGTCTGGTCTGAACTAGTCTGGTCTGGTCTGGACTGGTCTGGTCTGGTCTGGGGCAAATTATAGTCCAAGTAAAAACATCCTAATTACTGTCATGTTTTGGCAGTACCAGGCTTTAAAGATGACAATATTTTCCAAACTTGACAGTAATTACTCCTATTTTGGGAATAAAAACATGACAGTCCTATTTTGGAATTTTCAAACTTATTTAGTCATATTTTGGGAACTTTCCCGATATCTCTTTGTAAATCTCTGAAATTAAAGCATACAAAGTTAAACTAGTTACATACGTAAATTTGTCTCCGTTTTTTGAGAATTTGTAATGTAATAGTATGGAATATTTGATTAAGTAAATCAGACATCATTAGTCCGTTTGTTTAAAATAGATTTAACATGTTTTAAAATGGCCTATTCTATAATATCAAATTAAAAGATAGTATATACTTCTGTTTATGTTTATCATGTTAAAATAGATTTAACATGTTTTAAAATGGCTCATTCTATAATATCATAATAAAAGATAGTATATACTTCTATCATATCATATTAAGATAGTATTTTATTTGTTAATTTATGTTTATATATTTATGTTTATAAATTTTTTACTTGAAATGAAGAGTACAAGGAAAGAATCTACTTCTTTAACTATACGTTAATACGTGCGTGCGCGATTAGAGCAGTCCAAATGGGTCGAAATCCATTGGCGACCCGTTTAAACTCATTTATTGGTTGGTTAGAGTTGTGAATTTCTTACCCATTTAGCCGTCAAAAAGTCCAATATTTTTGTCCACTTTTGTATCAATTGTTTTTTCTAATATTGTTAAATTTATATGGCAGTTATTGTCAGTTATCTGGTTTCTGATCGAAATCAAACTATGATTTTTTTGGTCGGTTGTTGCAATGTCATCGATTGGCTTTGGTTGGCTAATAAGATGGACAAGTTTGGTCGGTTATTCGGTCGACCGACCGAATGCTCACTCCTAAAAAATTGGGTTTCATCCAAACCACGCTGTTGACAATTGTCATTGATGCTCAGTTAGGTTGTGGTGATCAACAAGAGTGAGTGATAACCTTTGAGAAGAGCTAATTTTCATTTGCAACATGCACTTTTTTTAGTAATGCATAATTTTAAAGTCGTGACTCACTTTTCTCAAATGAATAATATGAAAGTCGTGATTTTAAGAACATTCCATTCCGACTCAAGCCTATCAAAGTGAAGATGATGATTGGGCGACCAATACACCATTGACATATTTATATATTGATAATATAATTTTTAGAAGTTTCATCTCGTGCAACGCACATGTGAAAAATCTAGTAATTCTAATGGGGAAGTGAAGTTAAGGACAAATATAAGACATGTTTTTTTATATAAAAAAAATATAGACTAAATAGGACTAAGAGGATCATTACACCCTTCTTATTGACATGACAAGCTACAATGACGATGCCATGGTGACCAACATCACAGCGACTCTACCCACAATGATCAATGCCTCAGTGACAATCGTCGGTTGACCGGCCATAATGACTACCGCTAACCACATCCAGTAATTGTTGTTCAGTTGTCACCTTCATCTTTAGTGACCATTTCCCCACACATGTATACCCCCTTCCTAGCGGTTAGCCACATCTTCAGCCCACCGTCCCATCCCTAGCCCCTCCCAAACAGCCCCACCCCACCCCACATCCGTACACATTTAGCCACATCCCTGCTTAACGTCTATCTTTAACTTGGTCGCCTTGTCGGTTCCCATATGGGGCCGCACTCAAACAAAAAAGAGAAGAGAGAGGCGGCACCCGCAAGTGCATGGGGATGCAAGTGGAACGAGGGCAGCGACCATGAGGTATGTGATGGCGTATGATGGGGGACGACAGTCAGCCTACGTTGGGCAGTAGGTCAGCGAGTTGGGGCGTGTGCCAGTGCACGATGAGGCACAGACGTGAGAAGAGGCACCGCACCGGTCACGGTGGCGCTTGTCAAAAGGGAGCCGACTAAAGAAAGGAATTTGACGGTGAATGTGTGTCTTACTTGTGAAGGATTTAGGCTTTACTATGAATGTATATGAGGTGCCTTAAGTCATTTCTGTAACGTGCCTTTTTATCTTAATCAAAATCTAATCTTATTTTTGTTCATTCCAAACCTAATAGTATTATATACATAAATGAACTAAATAAGAGTAAATTAAAACACATACGTAGTATATTTCAAAATAGAGTTGTCAAGTTTTTATTCCATAAATTTGAGTAATTACCGTCATGTTTTGACGGTAGTAGAATTTAAACATGACTATATTTCCAAACTTGTCAATAATTAGTACTCCCTCCGTCCCGAAGTAAAGGTCCTGGTTTGACTTTCACACAGATTAAGAAAATGAATTTGACTACACACTGTTTGACACTGTTTGGTATAGATTTGTTTACCAAATAAGGAAGATAAAGAAGTGAGACATTTATTTTGGGACGGACCGAAAAGGAAAGCAGGACATTTATTTCGGGACGGGGGGAGTAATATTTAAGGAATAAAAATATGAGTCTTGTTTTGGGATTTCAAAACATTTGTACGCTTATATAATTTATCTTACCTATTTACTACGGAGTAGTATATTCTTTGGGGTAATTTGAGTTTGCACCCTATTTTATTGTCTAAATTGGACTTTGCACCATCTTTTTAAAAATATTTATTTTTGCACCTCAACCCCATATGAAAAGACAAAATGTCCTAAGTGAGTAATATGTTGAAGGGCAACATAATTATTAATGGAGGGGCATTTTGTCTTTTCATATGGGATTAATATGCAAACACAAATTTTTTTAAAAACGGAATGCAAAATCCAATTTAAACAATAAATTGAAGTGCAAACTCAAATTTCTCAGTGTTTTTTGATATTGTAAAGAGCATTTTCAACGGAGGACCATATTGTATTCTTGTTTAGTTGTATTCTTGTTTTCAAATCGAATGGTTCCAACTTGCAAGAGTCGACAATAGACATGCATGTCTCGCCAATAGAATGGCCAACTAACCTCAGGAAATCTCCCATCAATATCACAGAGTAAAGCGAATGAAGAAGAAGACCAACAATGGTTTTGAGTTCTGCGATGTCTGCAAACTGAATCACAACCAAGGCAGGAAGCACAACTACTTCCCCAGCCACAAGAAATCGCTGGAGGCGACGCTCTCTCGGTTCCGATCGAAACTCGCTGACATCCGCTTCTTCCTAAAAAACCCTACCCCTCTTCGCTCCGAACAAGCCCCTCTCAATCGCCTCTGGTGCGTGTTCTGCCAATTCGATATCCTTGAGCTCCACAGTTTCCACACCAGGTACGGTTCAAAGCAATTCATAGTTCGAATTGATGGTGATAAGGTGATGTTGAAGTATTACCGATACTGCTTTGTTGTGAACGCTATGATTTAGTGAAAATGCTATTGCGCATCTGGCAAGCGAGGACCATTTGAAGAAATTGAAAGGATTCCTATGGAAACACGGCGGTGCAATGGACAAAATAGATTTCTACCGGATTAAGGAGCTTGATTTTGTTAAGGTGCTTTCTCTTACTCCCGACCACATAAGACACATACGAGTGGACGTAAATTTTTATGTTAAGATGAAACATACATAAATGCATAGAATTTTCTGCGCGTTCTGTTCTCTCCCCACTATTTGTATCGATAATTCATATATTCCATGATTCCATCAAATGTACAAAGAGAGAGAGCATGATTTTACTAACGCTAAGCGATTGAGCGTTGACAAAATAAGCTGGGTGAAGTTTGCAGTTTATAAAGTTAGGATTCAGATGGAGTTATTCAATTGGACCTTAAGGTGCTTAGACCAAACCTATTAAAAGATTAGAATCCATTCTATTAGTTAGCTCAATCCAATATCTTGCATCTCATATCTCATCTCTTCAATATTGAGGTGTGAGACTCTAACATGAAGCAATTCTTAAATTTTCACTGTTCTTTGCGAGACAAGATAACCCGGTAGTGACTTGTGACAGTATTTTATCTTGACTCCCGGTTTCAATTTTCACTTAACAGTTAACATTGACTATTTAACCTATTTTATGTCTAATGGTTTCCATGTACTTTCCTTTGCAGTGGAAAAAACAATGCAAAGCTTCAAAGAAGGAGGCTGTTTGTGAAGAAACTCATGGGCCCTTAATTGGACCGTCAAATGATATCCATAATGAAATGAACTCTGACTATGTAAATAGTTTTGCAATAGATAATATCCATGCTGATAACATTGACTTTTCGAATTGTGTTGTGCCTTTACAAAACTGTACTAATGAGAGGTCTCAGATATACGAATCAGAGTTACCAATCACACAGGGTGGTCACATGGGCTCAAAATACGGGGCCAGTTCATCCTGCATTAATTCATCTAGTATGTGCATTGTAACTATTCAACATCATTTTCTTATTTAGGCCCATGTACTAACCAAATAGGCCCATGTACTAACCAAAAAAGGTCAAATAAGCCCTTATTTAGGAGGCTCTGTCCGGCCGTCGTCATTTGGAGTGGTTCCCGGTGGAATTTTTTAATGAATTTTTTTGAGCATCTTGTTCATCAAGTCTAGTTTACTCATACCAAATTTCAGCTAAAACTTCAATCGGGAAGGCATTCAAATAAATTCTTCAAAATAACTGCGCAGTTAGAAGCGCATTTATCTTCAAGAATTCATTTGAATGCCTTCCCGATTGAAGTTTTAGCCGAAATTTGGTATGAGTAAACTAGACTTGATGAATAAGATGCTCAAAAAATTTCATCAAAAAATTTCACCGGGAACCACCACAAATGGCGACGGCCGGACAGAGCCTCCTAAATAAGGGCTTATTTGACCTTTTTTGGTTAGTACATGGGCCTATTTGCACCTTTTCCCTTTTAATTATAGCATTGCATGTGGTGTTTTGAATAAAAATGATCATAATAATTTTCTTTTCATGTACTTGATGCAGGGTATGGGATTGCTGGACAATCTACACCATCGCTTGGAACTGCAAACTTATCTTCTCATCCTCTCATTAATGGCTTTGTATGTTACCAATCTCTCTTTAATGCTTTTCCTTGTTTCTCTTTCACATGACAGGGGTTAGTTTAGTTTTTTCCTTTTGAGGTTAATAAATACGAAGTATATGATGATTACATTGATTTTTGAATGTGTGGGCTCTACTTCCTGTCTCTTTGTGTTTATTAGCCACTTTATTTGACATTCGTTTACAGTTTACACTAGCCAGTCGTGGTAGGGCTATAGCCATAAGGCCCATAAAAGGTTTTACCCTTGCGCGGGTTTCTTTGCAACCTACTATACCCACTCCCTATCATACCAAAAAAAACAACATAAAAAATTAATGTTTGGTAAGCCCCGACTACCTGGGCTTACCTATTACCAAAAAGAACCTGCCTGGTATGGTTATTTATGCAATTATGCCATAAAGGATTACCCATTCTTCAGAGGGTGTCGTCGTATCTATGTCCCAAAGTAATGCTACATCTAATTTAAACTGCACTATTTTTTTTGGTTTTGCTAGCTATTATTTTCATCCATAGATTCTACTTTTTCTTGTAGACCCCATTTTTCAGTATTTGAAAAGAGAGAACTTGTAAACTAATTAACACCATCTTTATTCTCCTTATAAGCTTGTCAAAAAAACAAAATATATCTGACATTATGGGATGAATATGCGCACGATTTTTTTTTTTTGTGTTTTCCATGTATGCTTCAACTTGTGGGATAACTGTTGCAACAACGTTTAATATGTGCTACCATAGTTAGGCCTTGCATGAAAGAGGTGACTGTATAAACCATAATGCCATATACCAATTTAATTTTGGTAAAACCGCGTTTTTAACCAAAGAAATGTGGCAAATATCGCTTGAAAAGAAATGATCTTGTAAATACTGTTGTAGTTCATAGCAGATGGAATAACAAGGCTAATAATCTGCTGCTTTAGCTCCCGTCGTTTTGCAGTTCTGATGATTTTCTCTTTTAGAATTTAGTGATGGGTTCTGTTTTCATATTAGTGAATTTATTATCTTGGCTTGTGGTGATAACAGGCACCCCTGAAAGAGAAAAAAGCTAAAGAGGGAACCGTTTCTTTGGGTAAACACAAAATGCTTCTGGTCACATATTTTTGTCCTCGCATAACTTTCGTTTCGTGTTCCACATTTTTTTTCCACATTTCGTTTTTAGTATGTCGTTTGATGCGGTCTACTTTGCTGTGTATATATTACAATTCCCAAATGATACTCCGGCACTGTTTTGGTCTTCTTAATATTTAATAAAAGCTGAAAACATTTAAAGTGTTACCTACTTTATATGGGAATATTGATTTTTTCGGAGACTGACAGTTATTTTACATAAATAAACGCACACACTTTTGCCGCTTCCCTTATGACATATGTCTACATCAAACCATTTTTTTTGTTTCGAGTGTTATATGAGTATATATTTTGGGGGTCTACAATTCTACATATGTTGTCTGTCTCACTGTCTTCTGGGTACCAACGCATTGGATGGTTAGACAATAGACATTTTTGCTCTTCTTGTTTATGGATAATTTGTCTGTTTTCCTATTATTTTTTGGCACAACTTATAGAAATTTCTATATCAGCAGAAGAAGCCATCATAGGGAATGTTCATTCTGGAGCACCTCCTCCGTGGTTAGATGCTTTTGAACAAAATCAGATAGATTCTTTGTCAAAGTCTGGTCAAAATGGCCTTGACTCTTTATGTCAAAAGAGTAAATGCTCTAAACTAAACCCAAAACGGGTTGGTGCTGCATGGGCTGAGAAAAGAAAACTTGAGATGGAGTTGGAGAAGAAAGGAGAACTTGTCATGAAAAATGCTGATGCAAATTGGCTTCCCAATTTTGGAAGAGTTTGGCAAACTGGCAGTAGGAAGGAATCTAGAAAAGAATTTCAGATTGAAAAAAAGTTGTCTGGGAAAATTGAGAGCCAATCATCTAGTGTGATACAATTACAGCCTTATATCAGCAAACGAATGGTACGCTCTGTTAGTCTACCTCTCAAAGTCACAATTATAACTTAAAATTTATGAATTGTAAAAAGTTGCTAATTCTCTTGGGATGATACTAAGTTGAAGAATAAAGTGGAAAGTAAAAAGTTAGTAGGGTTCAAATTAGTGAAATGGTCAAAATTTTGGGACAGAAAAAAGGGAAGTGTATCTAATAAAATAAGAAAAGGGCTATTTAGAAAGGAAAAAGAGTCAAGAACTCGATTGGGATGGTGGGAAAAGGAAGGGGGAGAATACTTATGGACAGAAGAACTGGAGTTTCGTTTTGTGTAGGAAAACGATATTACAACAAAATCAGCATTCCATAATATTATGTTATTTTGATAATTACTAAAACTATGATATTATAATAATTTAGTAGATATTAGTACTTTAACTATTATTATTATAAAACTAAAATAATCATAAATATTTGCACTAATAATATAATATTATTATTATTATTATTATTATTATTATAATCATATATATTTTACTATAGGTGTTGTTAAAAACTAATTTTAAAACTAAAGGCATTGGTCTTTATTCGTTTATAATTCATGGTGGGCAACCAAGCCTACATAAATTAATAAACGAAAGGGTTTTCTATTTTAAAAGTGAGATCATGCACTGGGTTTAGACGGGAGGTAAATAGCATTTTTATTTAGTGGTAATGTAAGCTCCTATATTTTGCTATTTAATTGCGTTGGCCATACGGGTTCCCTGAATTGTACTTCAATATCATTTCAGCGCAAGGATTTGGTGGATATTCCTGAGCAGCCAAGCAGTCCGGAGTAAAGCCTTATTTAGACTACAGAGTGCATCATTGTATATAGAAGTAGTAAACCCATGTGTTGTTCTGCTAGGGGTTGAAATATCTTTATCTTTATATATATAAAGATCCTATGGTGGGATTTCAGGTGGGATCTATTTAAAGCCAAAACATGTGAAAAATTGTTGTCTCAATTAAGTATCTATATAGTTTTATAAAGTAAACTTGAGTTAGAAAACAATGATGTGTCAACTTCTTATTGGATAATGTAAATTATATTATCATTACAATTAAAACAATTAATTAATTCAATGTTCACCACACTTAAAAATAGTGCATTACGGCTGATTTAGAGGAATAGTAGGAGAAAAAATCTCTCTTTTTTAAAGTGATATAACTTTTATATTTATGATCCAATTTTTACAAAACATATATCAAAATTCACAATTTTTTAAGATCTTTCATATGACACCAATATTATATATATATGAAAATATATATAAAAAATATCTATTATTTTATATAGCAAAACTAGGTTGAAAATTATATTGGCTAATAAAAATTCTATTATGACTAATACTAAAATATTTAAGGATGTTTTTACTTGGACTTTAATCTGTCCCAGACTAAACTAGATTTGGACAGTTATAAAATACAAAGAGACCAGACCAGTTCAGACCAGGTCAGACCAACAAATTACATTCCAAGTAAAAACATCCTAATTCATATAAGTTGACTCGGTTCATCATTGTTATACACTACATGCATCATTGATCATTCTGAGAAAGTGAAGGAGGAAAAAGTCTTATTTTAATGTATTATAACTTATTTATCTGTACTTCAATTTTTACAAAAAAAAATACATCAAAATTTATAACTTTTTATGATATTTCATATGACACAAATTTTACAAAAAGTATACCAAAAATGATAAAGTTTTATGATATTTCATATGACATCAAATTGCATATATAAAAAATTATTGTAAATTTTGAGTTATATATCAATGATATATCAAATTTATAGTGAAATTTGAGTTTTTTTATATCATCAAATCTAACAAATCCATTAAATCAGAATAACATTCATCACATGACTAATAATACAATCAAATAACAAGAAGTAAACAAAGCGATAAAAAGACTTATGTCTGTCGTCCGCCCTCGAACCATACTTAGAATATATCACCTCTGTGGAAGCAATAATATTCGCTAATCCTGTAATGGGCTTAACTAAGCCAATGACTAGCAAACCAAACTTTTCATCACTTGATTTAAAATCTAGAATCTATGTGCTAGGAAATAAGAACGTGTCCAAAACAACATGCAATTCGAAAGAAATTCACAAACAGAATAAAACGAAATTAAAACAGAGTTCACCCATCGTTTTAAGATCAAAGATCATAAACATTCAAACCAAAAATAAAAAAATTCATATCAGATCAGAAATATTCAAGCCAAATTGGTTCAAACATAATTTATTATTTTTACTATTATGATGATTCCAATCTAATCTAAATGTTTTTGTTGGTTATTATTGTACGTTGCTTCCATTGAAATTAATTACGAATATTGTTATTCTGAAAAAAATCAGTCTGGACCTTAACAATTTCAGATCATAAATATTCATACCCGGCGAATATAACAACTTTTTAATATCAACCATATTAATGGAGTATAATTCTCGGAATAAATACCATATCAATTCAGTTTGCAAAATAATTGTACAAAATATTTTTTTTTTAAAATAATGATATGATACTCTAAATCTCTAATACATGTAATAGGACTCTAATCATAAAAAATAATTTTACTCATTTGAGTGATGCTCTAATTCAAGACCAAATTTTTAAATAATGGAACTTTAGTTCACGTGAACGGGACTCTAATCGTACAACACAAATAATACACGTGAATATCCAAAATAATGTAAAATTGTAAGCTACACATATTCCCAATTCCAATTACAATCACCATAGGATCTTTATATATATAAAGATCCTATGGTGGGATTTCAGGTGGGATCTATTTAAAGCCAAAACATGTGAAAAATTGTTGTCTCAATTAAGTATCTATATAGTTTTATAAAGTAAACTTGAGTTAGAAAACAATGATGTGTCAACTTCTTATTGGATAATGTAAATTATATTATCATTACAATTAAAACAATTAATTAATTCAATGTTCACCACACTTAAAAATAGTGCATTACGGCTGATTTAGAGGAATAGTAGGAGAAAAAATCTCTCTTTTTTAAAGTGATATAACTTTTATATTTATGATCCAATTTTTACAAAACATATATCAAAATTCACAATTTTTTAAGATCTTTCATATGACACCAATATTATATATATATGAAAATATATATAAAAAATATCTATTATTTTATATAGCAAAACTAGGTTGAAAATTATATTGGCTAATAAAAATTCTATTATGACTAATACTAAAATATTTAAGGATGTTTTTACTTGGACTTTAATCTGTCCCAGACTAAACTAGATTTGGACAGTTATAAAATACAAAGAGACCAGACCAGTTCAGACCAGGTCAGACCAACAAATTACATTCCAAGTAAAAACATCCTAATTCATATAAGTTGACTCGGTTCATCATTGTTATACACTACATGCATCATTGATCATTCTGAGAAAGTGAAGGAGGAAAAAGTCTTATTTTAATGTATTATAACTTATTTATCTGTACTTCAATTTTTACAAAAAAAAATACATCAAAATTTATAACTTTTTATGATATTTCATATGACACAAATTTTACAAAAAGTATACCAAAAATGATAAAGTTTTATGATATTTCATATGACATCAAATTGCATATATAAAAAATTATTGTAAATTTTGAGTTATATATCAATGATATATCAAATTTATAGTGAAATTTGAGTTTTTTTATATCATCAAATCTAACAAATCCATTAAATCAGAATAACATTCATCACATGACTAATAATACAATCAAATAACAAGAAGTAAACAAAGCGATAAAAAGACTTATGTCTGTCGTCCGCCCTCGAACCATACTTAGAATATATCACCTCTGTGGAAGCAATAATATTCGCTAATCCTGTAATGGGCTTAACTAAGCCAATGACTAGCAAACCAAACTTTTCATCACTTGATTTAAAATCTAGAATCTATGTGCTAGGAAATAAGAACGTGTCCAAAACAACATGCAATTCGAAAGAAATTCACAAACAGAATAAAACGAAATTAAAACAGAGTTCACCCATCGTTTTCAGATCAAAGATCATAAACATTCAAACCAAAAATAAAAAAATTCATATCAGATCAGAAATATTCAAGCCAAATTGGTTCAAACATAATTTATTATTTTTACTATTATGATGATTCCAATCTAATCTAAATGTTTTTGTTGGTTATTATTGTACGTTGCTTCCATTGAAATTAATTACGAATATTGTTATTCTGAAAAAAATCAGTCTGGACCTTAACAATTTCAGATCATAAATATTCATACCCGGCGAATATAACAACTTTTTAATATCAACCATATTAATGGAGTATAATTCTCGGAATAAATACCATATCAATTCAGTTTGCAAAATAATTGTACAAAATATTTTTTTTTTAAAATAATGATATGATACTCTAAATCTCTAATACATGTAATAGGACTCTAATCATAAAAAATAATTTTACTCATTTGAGTGATGCTCTAATTCAAGACCAAATTTTTAAATAATGGAACTTTAGTTCACGTGAACGGGACTCTAATCGTACAACACAAATAATACACGTGAATATCCAAAATAATGTAAAATTGTAAGCTACACATATTCCCAATTCCAATTCAACGCTTCTTATAATCACCCTCATCACATAATTAGTCATATAAATGATTAATAACTATTACAATACTAAACACACAAATCACAATATAATCCCAAATTCATACTCCAAAAGATGGTGATTCATCACCCGTATTCCATGTGGTGGTTAGTTCATACTACCTTCGTCCCTCTTTATTTAGCCATATTTGACTTTTCCAGTCAAAGATGATAAAACTTTGATCTATTATTTTAATTAATATATTTATTTGAAATTAAAGTTAATAAATTTATACTTTTATGAGCAGGAAGTTTTAACAAAGAGCATTTTCATATCATTTCCATATTATCATTACTACCGTATATGAATATATAATCGATCAAAGTTCAACATCATTGACTTAAAAAAAATGTTTCGTTAAATATACAGTGACAAAGGAAGTAAAAGAAATTGATTATAGCCAATGAATAATTCACAATGTTTATATGTATTTGTCACCTCACTCATATCAAATTAACACTATCGGGGTATGCCCCGGGTGTTACACTAGTCTATCTTAATACTTCATCAATGAACCTTCGGTTTGCATAATAGAAATGTGATTATGGTAAAGCTAGCCGTGAATAATGGCTAAACTGCTAAAGTAATGGTACCAGATGATGTACGCGCTTACTAGCTAATTAATATTCTAACTTCAATAATACTTGCTAAAGACGTAATACTACGTATTTGGGGAATACTAAAACTAATTGACACGTCGTTATAACTTTCCACGCATATCAAATTTAGTACTCCCTATAATAATAATAATTAGTGGAATACTTTTTTGAAGATTTAAAAAATGTTTGCAAATGTTTTTGCTTTAAAAAAAACACTTTTTGAAGTTATTTTGTAAAAGTGATTAGTAGTAAAAGTTAGTAACACTTGAAAAAAAATGTTTTTGAAAAGTAAAAGTTAGTAATGTTTGATAAAATATGTGCTTTTTGTGTAGTAGTAAAAGTAAAGAGCAGTTTTAAGCCAAAAGTCGAGAAACACATTTTTAAGTAGAAGTCATTTGAAAACACTAATCTTAGCCTTTTAAGCCAAAAGCCGAGAATCGCTTTTTTAAGTATTTGCAAACACTCCCTTAGTGGTTGTTCTATTAGCCGGATAGGAATGGTTTTATTTGAATTTTTAAGATTTGATATGATCTGATTTTTTGAGCTGATCAGAAACTTTTTTATAACTTTCCACACATATCAAATTTAGTACTCCGTATAATAATAATAATAATTAGTGGAATACTTTTTTGAAGATTTTAAAAATGTTTGCAAATGTTTTTGCTTAAAAAACACTTTTTGAAGTTATTTTGGAAAAAGTGATTAGTAGTAAAAGTTAGTAGTACTTGAGAAAAAATGTTTTTGAAAAGTAAAAGTTAGTAGTGTTTGATAAAATATGAGCTTTTTGTGTAGTAGT